GTGGGACACACATGCTAAATCCCCCCATCAGGACCCTTCCAAGAGGCTTGAATGAGCTGGTCAGACATGCCCACTGCCCCACTTCTTCGCTCAGTGATTCACCCACCAGTAAATTCATTAATGAAACAGGTACTGGGGGCTTGGAATGTGCCAGAGACACAGCACCGAACAAACAAATGAATAATAGTCTGGTAGGTCCAGTGACGAGTGTGAGGAAAACACAAGTGGGGGAGAGAATCAAGAGGGTAAGGGGTGCTGCTAGTTTGCATTAGAGGGAGCCTGGGGAAAGCCACAGGCTGAAAAGCCTGTCCAGCCCACCTGACTCCAGGTGGCCTGCAGAGGGCCCCTGGGGGCAGTCAGGAGCCCTCCTGAGCCTGCCGCATTGCAATGAAGGGGCACACATCTGAAAGCAGGATGTCCAGACTCTTCCTTTCTTCGGACTTAGCCCCCACTTTCCCTCCCTCGGGGAGCCTCACGCATCCCCTCCCCCCCCAGGCTGGGCAGGGACAGCTGACCCAGCAGCTCTGTCCAGCTCTGTCCTCACAGGGGCATCTCCATGGCTCCCCGCACACACTTGAGAGCAGCAGCTGGTGAAAACCCCAGCCCAGAGGCTGACAAGGGCTTGAAAAGGTCATTCGCTGTCCACAAAACCCAGCCCTGGCCCTTCAGGACTGGCCCCCCCAGAGCTAAGCAGTTGATGAAATGGTGTCAAATCCCACGCCTGCCCCTTCCCCAGACAGACACTCTCACACCTAGAAAACGACCCAGAAGTGACCGAGGGTCTTGAAGGTTGCTGCCACCGCTAACTCTTACTCCTGACTCAACCAGGAGCTGCTGAATGTGCAAATTTAAAATGTATCTGCAATTCTGCCAATATTCCTGGCATAGTAAGGGGGGATCTTGGGCATCTTAGGAAAGGGCGGGCTCCCTATGAGTGCCCCAGGGCTGCAGTGCTGTCTGGGCATCTATCTGTCCTTCTAAGAGTCCTATGGTGGGGGAGCAGAAGTGGGCAGCTGTGTTCGGTGCCTTCTTCCACTGTAAGAAAGACCCTGTGGAGGCCCTCCCTGGCGGCACAAGGTGTTAAAGTGCAGCACTAGGAAGCTCTCCACAGCCACTGCAGCAAGAGTTCTATCCCAGGACAGGGAGGTGACCCACATGGTGCAGCAGACCTTTCCTGACCCACCTGCTGCTCCCCTCAGCAGTGTACTTCAGTCAATTTGCCTGTTCCGCTCCCCGCTCTGTCTCTGGTGAGTCCTCTTGCCACCCTTGCACCTCTGGCCTGTACCCCAGTTCTGTATGCATAAATAAATAAATCTTTAAAAAAAATAAAGCTTGAATTTGACCATGTGCTTAAAACCTTTCAAAGATTCTCATCTCTTACTGTACAAAGTCAAAACTCTTCCCTTCCTTATACGAGGCCTTTCAAAATCTGATCGCTGACAACCTGGCACTTCTGTGAAGAACCAGCTCTTTGCCTTCAAAGACCTTCCCTCACTGCCCTCCCCCAAGAAGGCCCCATCTCCACTGTTCTCATTCCCAACCTCTTACAGGTTTTTATCTCAGCATTTCATAGAGTTTGGCAGAATTTGGCATGAGTGTTTTTGTTTCCTCCTCGTAAGCTCCCTAAGTATTCTTGTTCACCATCTGCCCCCAGTGATTTGGGTTTGCCCAAGGGCACCTAGCTGAATAAAGTGCTCAATAAAGTTTGTTGACTGCAAAAAGAGGCCCATTTTGGCTCTCGAGGAAAGAGGAGGGCGGCCGCTAAGAACAGCTTCTCACGGACACAAGAGAGTCCTTCTGGCTTACAGAAGAGCCAGGCCTCTGACCCATGAAAAAAGCTGCTACTGCTGGTATATCCCCTTATTTGAGAACCTCCTATGAGCTACTCATGGAGATTCCAGGTCCTAGCTCCGACTCTCTGTCTTTTCATCAAGGACATGTGTACCATTCAGCTCCAAAGAGTTAAGTCCGGTGCAACTTATTCCAAGATAACACGAAAATGTCTGAAGGCCCCTAGAGTACTGTGGGCCAGGAGGCGGGACGTAAAGATCCTAGTTTAAAAGGAGGATATGTGACATCCCTGAGAAGTCTTAGGGGGCCGTCGCAGTCAGGCTGAGAGATTGCAAGGGTCTTGAAGAATGTGTAGGGAGGAAAAGACAAAAAGAAGGGATTTCACACTGAGATGTGGTTTGATGAAAGAGTATTTCAAAGTGCTTTTCTTTTGGAAGGCAGGAGAGAGACACTGCACTCAAGTGGGGCTTCAATTACTTCCAATGTCCTCAAGATTATTCTTGTTCATTAAATTTATGTAGTTCCTCTAAAACCTGATATTCAATTCCCACTGCACATTCAGTACCTACTGCCCAGGAAAACACCCATGATCGTATAATTCTGGGGCCATCACTGCATGCATGGGTTCAGAGGTTTAGGAGATCATGAAATGATGGCTGAGTAAATCCTCCAAGAGAACCAAGAAGAGTAAATACAAGTTGAGCTACTGATTGACTATGCTCTCTTCAAAATCCTCCGGCTATTTTCCTGGACCCAGGAAAGCCTGGCTTGCTTTTTTTTTTTTTTTAAAGCCTTGTCATTTTTATCTTTCATGTCAAATCAATTGTGAAGGTCTCTTCTTAACTGCATCTCCATATTTTAAATCTTCATTCCTATTCTCCATTCTTCTCCACCTTCTTTTCCTTCCAAAAAAATTGTCTTATGTCTCATCTTATCTACTGAAGAATTGAGTGAATTCCTTCCACATTCAGTTTTTCCAACTTCCAAAATAACAGAAAGCCACCCGATTTGTTAAAAAATGGTCTCCAGACTAATCGGGTCGGTAGCACTTGGGAACTGATTAGATACACAAATTCTCAAGCTTCACCTGGACTTACTGAATGTGAAACTCAATGGGTGGTGCCTGGCAGTCTTTAACAAATGATTCCAGGTGATTCTGATGCTCATGAAAATTTAAGTACCACTGTCAGAGAGACATCCATCCTAACACAT